GCGGACCGCTTTTCTGAGAGTGCTTTCGAAGTCCTGCTCAGCAACCAGCGCACTTGAATACACCGAGCACTTAATTTTTCCATCCTTTCCCTGTATAAGTGGTTTGTGTTGGGCCGGAGAGATCATGTGCAAAGTTACGCCCAAAGAATGGAATTTTGAATGAGAACAACTCGAAAAACTCGTCTCCTTGTATCCTGCTAGTAGAAGGGGCGGAGCCAAGGTGCTCATCTAACCAAGTAGAAGGTGGGTGCGGTCACATGTAAGGTTTTGGGAGGATCTAATCATTACATGTGCAATTGTGTGGTTAATTGCAACGTTTAATAGGAGGCGTGTTCTGAATATACGCTCGTGTTCGTACAGCGACCGTATGTGGTCAACAGTAGTGATCCACTCAACAGTTTAGACATGCAGCTATCGTATGGCTGCGATTTCTCGAGTTCGACAGATCTTGCAGTCTAGTTCACCGGCTCTTCCCCTTGCAGATTTGCCTGTTTGCCATGATCACTTTTTTGACGTGTTACCTACAAAAAAAGGTTTTGAAAAAAACTCGTCAAAAATTGCAATTTCCAGAGTAGTGGTGGTCCACCACTGTGGCAACTTACAATGTGCGCGGTTTCTAAAGTGTTAATTGACGTTTCAATACCTGCTCCAGCGGGTTATTTGGGGGTCTAAACCAATCGACAGGAGCTCTTTTTGTTCCTCGTGACCCGAAGGCCCAAATTCGACTTGTGTTTGGCACCATTTCAGCTTCAAATAGAGAATATCAAAAATAAAGCGACAAAATTGAAAAAAAAAACTACTTTTTAGTTTGGCGCCGACAAAGATCGTGTGGTCGCAATGATTTATTCGCACACTCAGCTAAAAGGGAAGAACAAGCTGATGTTGGCCTTGCTGAAAGCAATCGAAAAACGTGGAATGCACCTGGTAAGTTTTTTCTTTGTGAATCTCTTTGTGTGGATATCTTTTTTCATGAATTCCTACGTTTCCATCTGCAGGTCACACCACTTATCAACAATCTTCGAGAAATCGGTAATATGTTCCATACCGATGAGGTGTGTAATCAAGCTAGGCAACTCCTATTGCAGAATAGTCGTGTGAAGTACAGGAAATTCCTCAACAAGGCAAGTTCACCGTTTTCTGACATCAGTGCATGTCCCCTCCGAACTTTGACTTTTTCAGATTGTCTGGGACATTGAAAAGGTTAATCTGACGGATAGAGACATGAAAGAAGTTCTGTCGGTCAGCGATGCAGTGGCCAAGCTGCGCACTCTGTTTGAGAAGATGATGGACAGTGGCATGAATCCGAAGGATTTGTACAGCTCTAGTCCATGGGTGCACAAAGTCATCCATGAATTCTTTTTCGATGAGAAATTGGCGGACTTCGCAATTCGTGCTTACATCGGTCTACATTTCGCAGCCGACGATGTTGACTTGCACAGAGTTGCCTTGCGCTAATTATGACGCCAAAGTGTATGACTTCTCCGTTGACAACTACAATCTTGTGTTCGTTAGTTCCTTCTTTCGCTTTTTTTCGCTTCGCGTTTATACCATTTCTTTTTTTTTTATCTGGACATCTTCCCAATCAAGCGGACGTTTTTTTCAAAACCACTTTGGGATATCAAACCAAAACGCCTACTTTCAATTAGGCGTTGCCAACAAAGTGGGTGTGTCCTCTTTTACCCTAATGGTAGATAAGCGCCGATATCACGTAAAAACACCTCCGCTGGTGCAGTGCACTTGCGTACATCTAGAGACAACCGTAACTTGCCCATAGGGGTAATTCGATATGCTGATTACGAAAACGACATTCGTTTTAGCGGTGGCGCCATCTGGCGCCAGTTGGCGTCACCTTGTCACGACCCTTGTTTTCACCAAAATCGGTGTAAACTTCTGTATAGGGGTTATTTGGTGCCCTGATTACGAATATGACATTCGTTTTTGGCATTAACGTTGTTCAACGCATATTTCTCGGTTGGAGAGCGCAGACGAGCAGAAAATAGGCGCCAAATAGCGCCAGCGCCGAGAATGAATGTCATATTCGTAATCAGGACCCCTATACGGAAGTTTACACCAAATTTGGTGAAAACAGGTGTCGTGACAAGGTGACGCCAACTGGCGCCAGATGGCGCCACCGCTAAAAATGAAAGTCATTTTCGTAATCAGGGCATCGAATTACCTCTATAGGCAAATTTACGGTAGTTTCTAAGGTGTACAAAGTTACACTGCACGAGCGGAGGTGTTTTACGTGAAATCGGCGCGGGCTTATCTACCGGAAATTAGGGTAATTCGTCCACTGTCTCAGCACTTTCTAGCGTCGTGCTCATGTTTTGCGTGACTGTCGGCCTGTCCCACCGAGCGTTTCGCGGATGCCATAGCCTTTGAAAGAGCTCCTAGCCGTTGCAGAGGCAACTAAAGAGTGGTATGACTCTTGAAATCCTGCAGCACAATGAAAAAACAATTGGATGACACAGAGGGTGTTCTGTTGCATATTCCGCGACGGCTAAAAGACAAGGGCCTTGACCAGGTTATGTTTATGATCTACAGTGTCTTGGAGAAGTTGAAAATCGAGTCAAAGAAGTGTTACTAAGAACTCGGACGTGTCAGCATAGTCGACAACTGGGAGCCGACAAGTCTGCGCTCTCGGCTTATTATTAGGCACGGGTCGCCACTAGATACGTTGAGAAATTCTATTTCTGACTAAGGTAGCAGGACGTCCAATCACAGGAATAGTAGTACTGTCACGACTTGATCTGTGCGACAAAAGGAGTTAGTACCTTCGCTCCACCGCTGCAACCGCTGGCCAATTTGTTAATCACAGCATATGCCACGAATCATTTTCACTCTTTGGTTGCCTCACACAGCGGCGCTGGTTGATAGCATCTTCCCGGCTGTGGACATTGGACGCTCTCAGCCGCATTCTCGTTGACGTCAACGATTTGAACTAGCTTACCGATTGCTATCCGTCGGCTCGAGGACATTGGCGAGGATCTTCTGTCCTGCCCGCTTGTACCGCCTCAAAGATAATGCCTTCCGTTTGCCGAACGCATTTTGGTGAAGTGGGATCAGGTTTGCACCGAAAAAAAAAAATGCCAGAAGAGTGGAAACGTTTAGAGCATAACAGAAGAGCGTAGCAGAAATTGTGGACGTCGGCGGGGGAGACCTCATGTAGAGCTTAATTAAAATCCTATGAAAATTTTGTCAATTCAATCCTTTCGATTTCAAGTGAGCAGAAAGTCAGCAATTCTAGTTTTCAATATTTTTTTATATATGACAAAATCGAGCTATCCCTGAGCCTCATTTGTGTAAGATCTTCTTCAAGAAATCAGCAGTGAAGGCTCATTCATACACTTTATTGGCAAGCTTTCGCTGTATAACAGAGTAATTCAGTGGCGCAATGTATTTGTGTATTTGAAATGTAATTTTAAGGCCTGAAGAAGCTGTTATACAGCGAAAGCTTGCCAATAAAGTGTATGAATGAGCCTTCAGTGCTGATTTCTTGAAGAACATTATTTTAATCGAAATGAACTACCTTACCTTAAATGTGTGCTAATTTGTCTAAAAAAGTGTCCAGTTTGGTTCTTGAAAAATGTCCGGTAGGGTTCAGAATGTGTCCGGCTTAGTTTGGACGAGCAGTGTGTTTTGATTTTAATCAGTTGCATAAGAAATTAGTTTCAGACATTACATCATCTCACCAGGTGTGGATAGCAACCAGTACCTTTCCGTTGTAAAAATCACAGTCAACCGGGATTCCTTTACTCAGGCGCTAACACAAGAAAACTTGGTTAGTTACTGTTTTGGAATTTGCAATGGTAAAATTTTCATTCGCGACATGGAAAAACAAAAAAAAAAAAAAAAAAACGAAGGACAAGTAAAAATGGAAAATCGTCAAAGTTAATTGATTGTGGCGTACTCTCTGCCAGAAGGTTTTGCCTCAAAAATCATCACGAGGACTCGCTTTATTTTATTCTTTATTCGTCACTGCATATTTTCGTTGAATGTTAGTAATTCATTATGAGTTAAACAATATTAAAACGAGCTAGGCAATATGGGGCTCTAAACCGTCGAGGAAAAATCGAAGGAATTACAAATCTTTGTCCTTTACGCAGAATTACAGAATGTAGCTTCAGTAATTGTTGCTGTCACGCACTCTCTCCATGGCTGCTGTATAAAGAATGTGATATTTGAGGCTTATGCTGATCTAAACGTGAAGAGAATAGTTGAACACATTCACGCGCGGTGGCCCATATGGACCTGCCAAACAGTCGTGCTCGTGGGACGATGGCAGCCCATATGGGCTGCCAGCTGGTAATCGCTTGCCAGGCGCTATTAATGGAAAGATAGGTGGATAAATCTCGAAATCAAGTTTGAAATGCTTTCTTATAAATTCCTCTACGGGGAAAGTGAACAAATGCTGTATTTTCTTTCCCTCTATATGTTGTATTGATCGCAATCCTACTATTACATGTTTGGGTAATCTTTACGCATTGAACATTGCTGAAATCATTTTGTGGCATTCATGTTTTTGTTCATTTACAGTACAAAATCTGCGGATGTGAGGTTAGGCGGCGGCGCCCACAAAATCGCGTCCGTCCCACGCGACCGAAAAGTGGAAAAGGGGCGCCGTCGTGAATGTGTTAAAAATGCAATAAAAAAGTAAATGGTGTAAAAACAATGTAAGAGCCGCCAGGCCTATTATTAATTACCATTTATCTTTCCAAATTTTCTTCTTCAGAAAGCTGATGCTTGTAGTTGCCGGCTGCTTACACCTCACCAATAAATGCTAATCGCTGCAAAATGCAGGCACCTTGCGCAATTCGTTGCTTTCTCTTCAGTGAAGTGTTTCTAGCTTATTCCATTTTTCGTATACAACCTAAAAACACTGTTTACGTGGTTTGTACTAGTAAAATTGGCTGACAAATAATTATAAGTATGCCATCAAGTTACCGCATTTCTACTTTAAGTTACGCCCTTTAAAATTGTGTGCACATGGCGTATACTGAGGAAGTCATCAATTCATAAGGAACCTTGTTAAGCGTTAAAGGCGCACCAATTTACCGCTTCATCCACTGCTATTCATATTCTTTTTTTTTTACCTCCAGATCAACTCTTTAGTAAGCAAGTTCTCGGAATGTGGAATCAAATCGAATGGTATTCGCTCACAACTTCGTGTGACATTGTTAGTTAATGTAATCCAACTTACTGCTTATACGGAGCCGAAGAACAGTTTTCGAGGCTCAATTGGAGGTAATTTCACACTTCGTTTCAAGATTGAAGTTAACATAGCAATCTTATTCTACAGGAACTTCCCGTGCAGTCGGATTATGATGACCTTCTAGTCGCTGAAGAAGAGAATGCCTCCAGTATCATTTCTGCTTCTCTCGCCCAGAAACTCACTGCTGTCGACATTTTAACTCACGTCCTATATGTAATCCCTACAAACCACTTATGCAGGTAAGGAATAGAATTGAATCTTGGCCTGCTTCTGACAATGAAAACATATAATAAACAGGATAGAGTTTTTGCCGTCGATCAATTTCCCCGGCGAAGTTAATAGGGAATCTTCCACGGAAAAAGCTCCGCCCTCATTACCACAGAAAACGATACCTTAAAGGAATCTTCCACGGAAAGAGTGATCATTTTGTCTTGTGTGTAGGATTAGTATTATCGAAACTAACGCTTATGTTCCGTTCTTTTTGCTATGCTCATGAGGCTAGGGGCCTAAGGTATCGTTTTTCTGTGGTAATGGAGGCGGAGCTTTTTCCGCGGAAGATTCCTCGAAGATGCGCACACGCATTCTACTTCCATTTGTACATTCGTAGTGGCGTTTGAATGCGATGTGGCCTATACAATGACTTGCGGGGGCCAGCCAATGTACAAGTCAGTGTTTTTATCCTCCCAGACAAGTCTGGTACCAATTAACCGACCTGGAGAGATAGAAGGCTGGGCCCCACGAATCACGACTCAGAATTACTACAAGACCGCGCCACTTGTAAACGGTGCCCCCCGCCCCCCCCCCATCTTGCCAGTACACCACTTCCGCCCCATAACCAAACATATGATGGGAAGAAGTTATTTTGATATTGCTCGGATCCTCGGTCCTTTTCTGCTCTTATAGCTCTAGACATCGCTTTACCATCACCAGCAGTTTGAACTCACCGTCTTTCGGCCATTCAAGAGGATCAGTGGACGAAATTTCTCATGATAGCGCTCAGAAAATAGCACTAAAGAAAAGCCCTGATTCCAACTTTGTAGTTAGCGTTCGAGGAAACACTATGCGATACACATCACATTCCAACCGGCTAGTTCGGCCAACCCACCTTGCTTCGTAAGTCGTCCTGAGTGTTTTAGTCCAAGGTGTGCTTCAGATGAGTGCAGTAATGCAAGAGAGAAACAGACCCGAATATTATGCTTTGTAAGTCGATGGCAAATTGTAATGCTACAAACAACGTCCAAACATTTACGCATGAAGCACTGATCTTTCAGGTGGATCTACTAGGTGCAGAACGACTTGAGTTATGGCGTATACCTTCTGAAGCTCGACTTGTATCGGATCGCCTTTCTAACCTGAATGTTTTCAAATACGATGATCCCGACAAACGTTTCTCGCGATTGTTCGTCCGGGAACTGCTTGAAATCCCAATAAGAAATGTGGATGAAGGGTACAACACTTGTCTACTGAAGATGGAGCGTCTACCTTTGTAACGTTTTTTTTTCAGTTTTGACGTAATTGGGGATGCTGTCTCAGCCCAACTCGACAGTGCTTGTGGAGCTATCAATGTCACTATGAGAAAATTCAAGAAGTAGGTTTTGTAAGAAGCCGTGCTGAGTCAAGAGAGCTCAAAGGATTGCGTTTTGGGCCTTTGTAATGTAGAGTTCGTACACGAACCTACATTAGGCCGATGTCAGACTTTGCGAATCGCGCGATTCGCTACTAGCGATTCGCGCGATTCGCTAGCGTCCGCGGTCGCGTTGCGGTACCAGCCAATTGAGTGATTCACTGGCCGCGACGCGACCGCAGACGCTAGCGAATCGCGCGATTCGCAAAGTCTGACATCGGCCCTATGTGGTGATTAAGCAGCCCTTATTATAATGTGAAAGGGTCATTGAATGCACTTTCGATTCCTATAGCTTCTCTGAACCTAGAATGCTATTATTTTTTTTGTTGAATTTGGTTTTTTAACATGAGTGGTTTGGTTGCAGCTGCTGAAAGTAGGACTCATAATTTGCATAGTCAGCTGGAAACCTGGGTAACATTTTATCTGCTATTTTTGGCTAATGTTCTCTGTTCAGAAACATATACGTATCGAACCATGTTCTTATATATGTGACGTTCCCGAAGATGCCGTCCTCATTTGTGTGCGAACATCAGGACGATTTGGATGTCGTCTTTCGGGAAGCTATCAAAGAACAACGAAGTGTCTTGTATAAACATCACGTCACAGAGGTTTTATTTTCTGACATAACAAGACCAATTTCTCTGTGTTCCTATTAAACTATCAGGTTATACCACCACATTTCCAAATGCTCCATTATTTGAATTCAAGTTACCGTAAAACATCATTTAAAGCACGGCCACAGCTTTTTTACCTTGCACTAATGGTTGTGGAACAATGCGCTAGCCTATTCAAGAACATAGGAAGTGTGACTGAACAAAAAACCACCTTGGAAAGCCGCTAGAAAGGGAGCTGAACGGCCTCCGAAGTGGGCGTGGTTGATCGGCCGAAGGGATTACCCAACGGCGAATTCAACCACGCCCACTTCAAAGCCGTTCGGCTCCCTATGCATATACGGCTTTCTAAGGTTAGTTTTTGTCTATCGCATTTTTATTTTGCTTTTGACTAGGGCTCGAGCATCGTTCCACACCATTAGTGTCGAAGATAAAAACCGTGCTAGGAGTGCTGCTTAAAGGAATCTTGCGCGGAAAATTCTTGCACTCTTTCCTAACATGAATATGTCAGTTGTGATCACTGGAAATAGCACACAAAGTTTCACGCATGAAGATTCGGTTTCTGAAGAGAAACAAACGTACAAAAACTACACGTTATGGACCATCGAAGGACCAGGAGGCAGAGCCAGGCGAGGCATGGAAAGAAGACGGCGTTTGGCCGGCTACGTACCAGGCGACGCAATGAGAGAATCGGGTTAAAGCGCGCGATTTCGGAGAGTGGAGACAAATCGATCGATGGAATAGGAGTAGAAGTGTAAGATGTGAATGCAACGAAGCAGAAGGCCAGAAAGAGCTTCTAGTGAATGCACTCCAAGAACCAAGTTTGAGCATCCCCGTCGCCAGCATTCGTGAAAGACGTCCGTGGGCAATTCGAACGCGTAGCAGCCTTTTCGAGTTTTCGAATTTCTAATCAAAACGAAAGCAATACTTCAGTTCTTTTCACTATTATCGTGGATAATGAGTCTCAAGCCAGTGATTTATGGCTGAAATAGAATCATGATTTTTCCGCGCAAGATTCCTTTAAAGGACATGCTCTATATTTGTTGTTGATTAGAAATTTCGATATGTCTTCTTGTGCCCCCCGTTGGACCACGGCAGAAACATTCTCAGTCTTAGGCTGGTGTCAGACGCAAATCCAGCTAATTGCGGGGTACGGACTATGGGTCAGCGCTTCGAACGATGTTCTCGCCACTCAGCTGTGTTAGAAAAAACCCAGGGTCCCCCTTATGTGCAATTTGGCTCTCACCTTTTATGCTTTCATGCCCTCTCGCGCTCTCATCCACTTGCAAGCCCGGGAAAGTTGCGAGGGTAAACGAACTCAAACGAGGTGACTCTCTTAACTTCACACTGTCGCGTCGCTGGTGCATAGTGCGAAACGCTGGTGCATTGTTTCAACCGCTGGTGTATTACTCGCATCTCGTTCGCTAGCTGGAATCCCGAAGTCTGACACACCCTTGCTGTCATTAAACGCAGCCAGGTAGGATCTCTAGGTGGTGCTGAGTCCTGCGTCGACATGAACAGAGGCGATATCGTGGCTACTCGCTTCATTTTTAAGCTTCTGAACAGGATAATCATTGGTGTTATATAGACACATGCTGAGCGGTCTTTAACAGATGTAAATGTTAAATGTTTCTGCAATAATAGGCAAGGTTGGCTATAACTCTCCTCAAATACCGACAATCCGCTTCATTTTTTTTACCGCTTCATGGTCGGTTGTGATCATATCAGTACGAAGAAAGCTGTAAGGGCATACGGCACTCTATACTTGTATTCAAGGAAACTTTCATCGCTAGGCCCGCTCGCCAGACGTGTGTGTGTTTGATCTATAGGTTACCTAGAACAGGCAATCCATGTAAGGGTTGTCAGGACTGCCCCTAAGATTTATCTTAGAAGCTGTCGTGTAATACTGATTCTTAA